GCTTAATAATATTTTATTAATTTTTCGTCGTACTTATAACCCTTAAAGAAAATATTTTTCGGTTTTGTTTTTAATGTTGTCTCTTCAGATCCAAGAATAACGTTAACTTTTTCTTCTAATTCAATAATTAAAGAAAAACTAAATTTCATTGGTATACACAATAAATATTTAATTATGGTCAAATATGTAATAAGCCACTGCTTGGTAGAAGATACACTATGAAAAGGTAGAGAAGGAGAGGATTATAAAAGCAGAAGAAAGGGCCAACATATTCCCTGTCAACTGATTGACACAGTAGTGCTTTAAGATAGCGGTAATATAAGGAGATGTAGCAGATGTCATTTCCACGTATCCCTTTTAATGATTTTATTATTTAACGGTATTATGTTTCTATCAAATATAAGCCTACCCCATGAAGTTAAAATAGGGTTTTGTATATAATATACGTAATAATTGTAATGCTAAAAAATAAAAGATGACAGCACTGGGGCATTTTTGTGAAAACAGATTCTCTGAAACTGTCGGTATAAAATATACAAAAATATGCATTAAATATTTAAAACTGTGTAATTATGGTCAAATATGCAAAATAAAACATCAAAAATTACTTCTAAATTATTAGGTATTAACTTAAATTAAAATATAAAAATTTGAAAAGGAAAAGATATTTAAAAACGTACAAATATATTACACTCTTTTTGTTGCCGTAACAGCCCGGAGGCGTCAATAGTATTTCCTATTCAATAAATCGTATAGATATTTCAAACACAAATTTTTAGAAAATTTTAATATTTAATTTCCATAGTTATTTTATGAATGTTTAGTGCATATTTGAATGAAGCAGAAGTTAGGTTCAGATAGTATGCAAAGTCTTAATCTACATACATAGCTCACAGTGACCTTCGTCCCCTCATTCCCCCTTTCTCTTGTTCATCTGGATAAATATAATTTTATGTTATTATTCACAAGGAAATTTAAACTATGCTGATTTCTACAAATTTGCAATGTTTACCTAATTTCATTATTATTTCTCAGAGTTGACCATTTAATTTTTCACGTATTTCCTGAAATTTGCATTAAAAATACAAATTTTTTTTAATACAAAATAAACTTAAAAAATTTTGAATACAAATTTTGGTTAAAATTAATATGAAAAAGTTTAAAAGACAATATGTAAAACTACTAAAACTTAAAAACTGCATACTCGGGCTTTAAAAATATTAAAACTAAAATGAAAACTGCGTTATTGTCCTCGTAATTTTGTTTATGGTTTAAAAAAATAGTTACAGCATTTTTTTAAATGTTATATTCAAAGTAGTCTGACTCCACTGACCTGTAAAAATGACTTTCGTTTGCTAAGTGCAGTTGTATACAATAATAATATTATTGCAATCTTTGCGATAGATAATTCGTTTATCATATGCAATAAAATTACGCACGATACATTTGACTTAGTCGATTTTACTTGAAACATTTATTAACATCGTAATATTATAATTAAGAATAATACACTTGAATTTTAAAATTTAGACAGATATATAATATTTCTAAACAGTGCTTAAAATACGAAAAGATGAAAAAATAATATATTTGTACTTAAAATAAAAACACGCAACGTAAAAATGAATCGTCCGTTTCTTTATCGCGATAACTTTAATGAACATTCATATTGAGACCTTAAAAATAAATCACAAAAATTTACTTTTGTTTGAAAAAGAAAGTGTTAAAACATTTACACAATTTAAACAAGTTTGTGAAAATGTTTTGTACTTCAATGTGCTTGTAATTCTAGGAGTATTTTTATCGATTTCTCTGATAAAAAACAATTATAAATAATAAGTTGAACACAAATATTAGTTAAAACTTATAGGTATTTGTGTTATTTTTATTTTGTACCTACTACAAACTTATAATACGTATTTACTATATAAGTCTCGTATACGAAAATTAATAATAAATAAACCTTTGAATGAACTGTTGGTTAAGTACCATAAAATATTACGTTTGTGTATTTATACTCGTAGTTGATAAATTCGTAACTATAGAAAGTCGAGAGTTCTCGTAAAATACTTATACTCCTTTATGTATGCATAGTGTAAAACTATAATATATTTCCTCAAACAACTGTTCTATATTGTATATTCAATATTGTTTAGATTTTTTTTTTTATGTGAAGACTACAATAAAGTATACTCCGATTATCGAATATAGCACTATTTCCGAAAGGAAATGTTCTCTGAGTGATACTTTGGAAAGGTCATTTTTTGAAATTCGAGATAATAAGGAAAACCTCGGTCTTTAGGTTAAAAAAGATTGAAAGATTAAAAATAAAGTTGTTATTGGAAACCGTTATTATTATTTTTTGTTATTATTAAGTTTTTATTATTTTAATATTTTTTAAACAATCATTATTGTCATTGTAGTATTAATTTTACCATAATATGATAAACACCATATATTGTATTGTTGACAAAGCAACAATATCAACTAAACTCCGCTCAGAATCTTTTTTATTAGCAATGGTTCATCATTGCTTACAGATATACATTAAATTCTCATTTTTATCCTATTTTCCCAACTGCTTACCTACAACAATGGCTGCACCCAAATGCGAAATATATCCGTCCTTTTGCTTTTTTTATTTTTAAACTAATACTTAACAATTATAACTGTTCAAAAATATTGTTTTACAAAATCTAAGATAGCCAATTTATAAATATATATTGTGAAACAAAATATTTGTAATACAATAATGTACTAATGATGAATCATTACTAAAATCTCTGTTACTATAGTTTCTACAATTTTTCGAAGTTATTAAAAATCATTAACAAATTTACTTTTCATATAAAAATTAGTTAATCGATTGATATTATTTAATAGTGACACTAGGCACAATTTAAAATACAATACACATCAAAACATTTTTGAAAATTAAAGATTCAGCATTTGTAGCATATTTTTAACCCCAATAATTTGTTTCAAGATATACTATTTACAAAATTTTTATCTTGGAGTATGTAAAAATAATGTTTTTTTTTTAGTTTTAAGAATACTATAAAAATACAAAATGTATAATACAGAAGAATCATAAGCTTCAGTAAAAATCATAAGAAAAAAAAAACATAAATATTGAACAGAACAAAAATTATTTCCGATGTCAGACCTTCGTGTTACAGTCTGTATAATGTGTGTATACTGTATTTAGATACATATATATATATATATATATTACAGTTAAAACTCAAAATCCGTCAAAACTAATTTTAAGTTATGAAAACTAGTTTCAATTCTAGTTTTGACTGGTTATAACTAGAATTAACTAAAACCTTCACCGGTAAAACTAGATTCAACTTATTTTTGTTTAGTTAGAACTAGTTGTGTCTGAAATATATTTGTGAAAACTAGAATTATCTTGTGAAAATCCGTAGTTTTTATTTTAATAGTTTAAACTAGTTGCGCGAGACAAACATTCACGTAGGTACAACGACTTCAACGAAGACAAACGAACTGTCAAAACTGAAGACACAGGGACAAAAGCTACAGTGACCGAATTATTATCTATTTGGTATAATCGGTGAAAGTTATCACATCTAAATGTTATTTGGTGGACGACTGGTTAAAGTTATCTAAATTGATTTGATAGTCGGCCAGTCGAATTTATGAAGTCAATATTTATAGATCGCGTGCGTTTTAGTTAGTGCTTAGAAAGATGGGGAAGTTTATGGTTTTGAAAATGTTTTAAAAATGTATTTGCTCATTTCGTTAATTAATATCTGCGAGTAACCATAGCGTTTAACAGCGTTTCCTCATCTAAATATTTAAATGCACCGATTCAATAATAATAAATGTTAGAAATATTTGTCTTAAATTTCATAGAATTTAAAATCAATGAAATACTCGTGAATTGAACAGCGGGGTATAAAGACGAAGTTAACCAATGTTGGCGGAAGTACCGAACAGCCTATGTTCCCTGTATAAGCTTTCGTTAGTCAGCATTCAATAATAATCTAAATCATCTTAATCACGATAGAGATCCGAATATATAAAATCAGAAATTCCTCATACTTAATCTTCATGGCTCATCAAACTGTATAGATAATATTGTACTTAAACCTTGAATATGATCAAAATATCCGTGTTTAATATTGATGCAATCTGTAGAAATTATTTCTGAAGTAAATTTCATACTAATTTTAAATTCCTATAATAACCACGAGACGAAACGCGCGGCAAAATTAAAGGTTCTTAATGAAAATTTTTCTATTTAATCACTATTTAGACTTGATGTTTAAAACCAATCTATAGCAGTCGACATACGTTTAATTCAATTTGTTTAATACCGATCAATCAATGCCAACAACGATCAACGGTATTCACGTATTATTTTACCACTATTTATTAATAATATATTATTTTTGAATTATTAAAAAAATTAATTATTTATAATAACCAATAAACAAGTGTATAATGATGAAGTTTAAATTTGTTTAAAATTATTGTGTAAATTATAGTTATTATAATTATTTTATAATTATTACTATACTTGATTTTGTTTCTGCGTTTTAATAAAACGTGTTTTTATTTCTTTCTAGGAAAACACTTTTTCAGGTAGTCAAAAAAAACCTCTAAATTATTCGTATTATGCTTTAAACAATTTCAATTTAAAAACTTTATTTGAAAAAATGTCTAGATTTTCAACATTTTTATCAATAAAATTTTAAAAAATTGACAACAATAGTTGTCGATGCATTTGTTTTATTATTATCGATGAATAGATTACTTTGGCTACAAGAGTATATAACGATTTATACTACTAATAGTTCTTAGAATTATTTGCAACAATTTATTGTTGCATTTAGTGTTTAAGTTAGATTACGCTATATGCATAGGAAAATGTAAATCTCTATTCAAGTGTGTTGTTAGAAAATAATTTAGTAGTACTGGGTATAGTTTTCTATGCATAAAATTGAAGAATGGAGGTCTTTAAAAAATAAATTATGGCTAAAAAGTTAATTTTACTAAGGTGTGTTTTGATTGATGATATTGTACGGTACAGAATATCGATCAGTAGTCAGAAAAATGGAGCGAAGATGAATGTAGCAGAGATGAGAATGCTTAGATAGTTAAACGGATAAACAGAATCACTGAATAGATGAAATAATGTTTTAATAACGAGCTTAATGAGTTTTTGAGGGTATCATAACGGTAATATACGCATATTATACAACAAAATAATATACTACAATAAAATAACGTTTGGGCAATTTGTTTTCCCTAGAATTTTGAATGGCCGCTTACAAGACGATTAGAAAAAGATGATGTGCTCATCGTGCAACTGCTCAGCCATCAGCGACACCAATGCGACAAGACTTTGGGATATTACACTCTGCCCATGGACAGGGTGGTGGTTGAAGGACATGTTCATCTGGTTGACTCGTTTTCGGCTATAAACGACAGAAATCTTCCGGTAAGTTGACCACCTAACTTAAAGCTCTTAAAAAGTTTAAAATGATCAAATCGACTTGTGATTATTTTTTTTAAACACTCTTCAGTTGTGACATTATAAACATAGTTCACAACAATCAATATCATTTCCCATTTTATCTTAAAATTCTCGCTTCTTAAGAATTTACATTTATATCAAGTATAGGTGATAGATATACTACCGGTTTCAACGGATTACATTACATGCGCTTGAATTAGTCCACAAAAAACCTGCATTTGCATAGTTTTCTAGGAATTTTTATCCATACCTCACGTTAACCTTCTTACCTTATTTTATGTCTTGAAAGTTAAAAAAAAATGTTATAAAATTAATATTTTAGCGAAACAAATAAATTTTTCAAATACATTTTTACTTCCAACTTAATTATCATATAAATAAAACTAAATAATAAAATATATTATTAATTTTTTCCAAGATTGTTTTATTTTATATTTGAACTGGTTTTAATAACTATTATAATAAAGTACTACCAATATTTTTGCGTACCTAATGAGTTTTGATAAGACTTAATTTCCAGTTTCGGCTTTCATCACAATATCAATGAAACGTACTCACGATTGTTGTTTAGCTCTAAATTTATAAGGTATATGCGGTCTGTATTGTCCCAATTTTTTTATAAATGTCAGAGAATATCATAATTAGTTCAGTCGTAAAGCATTCTATTATTTAGCTTATGAAAAATTAATATTTTTTACCTTTACCCTCGTCGTTGTTGTCAGTGTTGTCACCTACCTAAAAATATCGTTCCATTGGTTCCACAGTCGAAATGTTCGTTATATACACACTCAAAAAGTATATTCATTCCTATATAATTTGTCTCGGGCCTATGCATTTTTCTTAAATTGAACCCATTAAATTATAATATGTACATGTATAAAGTATAGGCCAGGATACACAATTATTACTCTTCTATATCATCATCATAACTTGATTTGAATTGGCACTTATATATTTTCTTCTTTCTGGTTCGTTAAGGAAAATATAAAAAAAAAAAAATTTTATTATGAATCTGTAATTTTAGTGAATATGTAGTGTTTTTAAAAAAAATTAAAGGTTCCGTTTGTTATGAAATACAAAAAAAAACTTTCTTTTGTTTTTTTTTTTTTTTTTTTATAAATTTGTGAATCGATTTTCTAACAAGAACTTGTATAGATTCAAAGAAAACAAACACCGCTAAAGCAATGCGCATTTTATTCTTATAATAACCGATCAAAATATTTACAGTAAAAGAAATTGAACGACGAAATAGTATAAAATGTTTCTTAGACGCGTATTTATATATACTCGCAGGAGGCATAATGTCGTGGAGAGGGTAGCTCGTAAAACGAGTGAAGGACAAAAGGAGAAATTATTGCGATAAAAAAAGAGAATAAGTAATAAAAGAGTGGACGTGTTGTTTACGAATCGTTATAATGGAGGGAACCATTGTACCGGTCGTCGTCGTCGTGTCATTAAACCTAAAGGTATACAATAACGAGGTGTCGTACCACGTAGGACGTAAACGTACACAAACACGACTGGCCGGTGTTGATTATTGTTCTGAAACGATTTTGGGTGCCTAACCTTAACTAACCTTACATTTATTGTGCAAGAATGTGGATGATTATATAAAACCTAGAAAATCTTGTTATAGAATATTTCCATTGTTTTGATGTAGGATAAATGAAATTGCTTTTAAACTAAAGCTGCAGCTTTAAAAAAAGCATTTTATAATTTTCCATCTACTATTATTCCATTTATTAAAGTCCGATGTCGTGGGTATAAATATATTAATTTAGTACACAATCGACGAGCTACAACAACAACGAATAATTTATTTTAACCTTCATATTAGATAATAAGTAGAACAATAAAAGTATTAGTTTTACTATGATGTGTATTTATAAGTTTTCTATTTTTATTATTTCTGTGTGTAACTTTTTAACGGAAATTTCGCATTTATTAAAAACGTACAAGAAACTTTTTTTTGTTGCATTTTGAATCTAATTCATTAATGAGAAAATTGGTATTTTTAATTTTCTGCGTAGTCTTTCCAATAATTGGGAAGCCTAAGAAACCCGTAAAAAAAAAAAGACCGCGAAGTTTAAGGCATTAAGGGTTCCATTATTTTCAATTATAGTATTTTGCTCTCCTAAGGTTAAAAATAATCACAGAGTGATTAAATTTTAATAGATAACATTTATATTAACTTTTTGTAGATGTGGTACAATTTTTTAAATAATCTACAATTTGACATTTTTAAGTTTTTTATTTTTAATTTTATTTTATATAGTTAAATTGTTTAGCCAAAAGAAATTCGTGATAATTTAACAAGAAGCCTATTACAAGTTGTAGTTAGTGGTAAGATAAAAAGAAGTTTAGTTTAATATCATATTTTTATTTTTTATTTTTTTTTTTTTGTAAGCCCTGTACGATCAAATTTTGACGATAATTAAGAAAACTATTATGACGTTTCAAAACGATTATAACCAAATTTCGCTCAGAATCGTTTTTTAAGTAAAGATTTATTGTTACGTACAGATATAAATTCAATAATTTAATAAATATTACGTTCCCAACTTCTCGCTTACAAAAGTAGCACATCCATCGGCAGTATTAACCCTTTGTTTTCTTTTGTTATACTTTATTCTTCACGTTGAAAATTGAACTCGGGAAATATAAACAAAGAAAAACAATCAAAAACTCTTACTAAATAAATTATTATAATCTAATTTGCCATTACTGTTTGGTATTATTAAAATTTACATTTTAAATAATATATTTTAATATATTATATGAATTAATACGACCACATGTGGCTAAAAAATATTTTTTAATGATATTATCAATGGTATGCAAATTCATACTAACTTTTTTTGTAATAAATTGGTACTTTGAAAATTAAAAATTAAAACTAATAAATAATTATCAAAATATATATTATATTACATATTTCGGAATAAAAATAAAGTAAGTTGTTTTTAATTGTGATAGATATTCAGTGTAAAATGGTAGAGGACATAATTTGTAAGATTATTGTTTAGTGTTCTTAACCAAAAAATAATAATGTAATACAAAAAACCATTAATCTGAAAAAATTAATATTTAAAAGTTTTAGTCTCTACCGTGATCACGAAATGATTTTATATTGTAATGTAATACTATACATTCCTAATGATATTTGAGTATTTTTAAAACAAATATTCAAACCGGACATACATTTACACTTCGGGTAGGAAACTAAAGATTATAGGTTAGTTTAGATTACATAATATAATAATGAGCAACAATAAATCGATGCAATGATTTTATTTCCGTAAAATTCACTCGTATTTGGTCGTTTATATTTATATGCATCTCGTATAACTTTATATTATGTTGATTGTCATTATATTAAGTAGTACATTTACTTAATAGAATTTTTTTTCTGAGCCTAGTTTGTCTTGGATATTTGTAACATTTTTTTGGAAAAAAAAAAAAACATCCGTTGGTAGCATAACACTGAACACTTGTTGCTGTTTCAATTTCAATTTTTTTTTAATTAATTTTAAATAGTTATAGCAGCAAGAATTCGTTTAATTTGTAATTTAAATTATATAAAATATATACGTTTGAACTTTACGCGAATGCGTTTTGGTACTGTCATTTTGTCACTATGTTTAAATTAAGATTAAAATAGTGTCCGCTATTAGGAGGTGTCCGCTATTGGAAGATGTCCGTTAAAAGAGGTTTCACTGTATTATTATAAGGGGGAGGGGGCCTTTAGTGGTATATAAAACAAAAAAACACCCTTATTTCGCAAATGTATGATTAAATTCATATTGAAATTCAACCAATAATTTATCACTTCAACCCGTCTATAAAATAACATTCATTTTCAGCCCATTAAGTCCAGATAGAGCCATTAAAAGTACCAGAAAATAGCGGGAAAAAGTTATAACACATATAAGATATAACGGACATAATTCAATGTAATAGTTTCTATTTCCAGGGGGATGCAACAAAAAGTTTACAAACGATCCGAACGTACACACACACATGCATGTTACGCGTTTGCCTATGCGCACTGCCGTCACTGTATTATAACGGTTATTTAATTAGTATTAATTGATTTTTTAATATTTATAGACAACTATGACCATTTTGCCATATTTACAGATCACAGGGTTATTATTTCATCAACATCTACGAATAAAAAGATTCCAGTATTTCTCGGTTTTTAGAACCGTCTGTATAACTTACAATGTTTTAAAAACTTACCCATGTTCCGAACTCCATCATAAAAATATTTTAACTTCTAATTTACAAATAACGATCCTCTTCCCAATTTACATAACACTTATAAATTATAATGAATTTTCTATTACAGTGTTATGCTTAGTGTTACACTGTTAACTGATATATAATTTATATTATGCTATACCTATCAAATAACTTATACAAAATTATAATAAAATTAGAACACCACATATTATTAGTTAAAACCCCTATACAAATCTTAAAATAAAACCGGGGAAATGAAATTTTCTTATGCATGACATTACTACCAAAGATGTACTTTTTGAGATTTCAGCTTTCAACTCCTACCCATATTATTTATACTCAAATATTGCCATTTTTTTTTTTTTTTTTTTTTTTTTTTTTTTTTTTTTTTTGGAGTAGTATTGTTGTAGATTGTTGTGAGAATATAGTATAGTATTATATTATTATGGTTTCAGTTATTTATTGTTTTATGGAGAATATTTTTTTAATGAAAAAAAACTAGGTGGTGGTCAATTTGATTCTAGCGACAGAGAATTCTGCGGTTCACCGGTGATGTTGTTATTATTATTATTTTACATTTAAAAAGGATACAGAATAATCAAACAATAAATTATAATTGAATAGGTTAGGAAAAAAAAATACATGTCATGTCGAACTTTTCTATTATAAAATAAAAGTATATTATTGATATTTCCTAGCTTCGGTAGACTGTAGACTAAAAACTAAAAATGTGCTGAATATATTATGTATAAATTAAAAGTTTATAACAGATAAAAAAAAAAAAAAAATCAGCATAAATATCATAGTCAAACCAATACATTCTTCGCTGTGCGCAGAGTTTAAACGAATTAAAAACTAAATTATTTATAATGTCAAAATGTGATATGGGATTATGTATTTTTTTAAACAAAATATCCGTCAGTTGTGTTTGGCACATGGCGTAAGTTCCGAGGAAAATACTTCCGAACTTTAAGAACAATAATAATTTATAATTCAAATAGGGTTCGAGATCAACCATTCAACTGCGTATAATAGTTGACGAGGGTTTACCAGTTGCACGCAATATCGCTTAATTTGAAAAATATATTTCGCGGGCGAAAATTCAAATATAAAATAATATAATAATATGTGTAAAAACATGTATTAATATGTATTGTTTATATATACATATATATATAAACATAATATAATGTAAATAATAAATAAAAAGGAATGTTAATAGATTCGTCAAATCAATTATAATGGTCACCTCGAATGCCTGCACAAGTATGTAATATTGAAGGTGATAATTTGTTTTCTATTGAAGTACGAAATAATAACAAGTATTTTTTTCCTGTATTCGAATTAGTTAAAATTATTTTTAAAAAAAATTCGTCCGATGATTTTGGAAATTTTACCAAGTCTAGGTAAGTCCAATATAAGTATTATTACCAAATTCCAAGTCTATACGTGTGTTTATAACCGAATATCAGCAACAAAACTCCCGAAACTTAAAATTTCTTAATAGCTCAAAAGTGGCTCAAAAGTTTTAACGATGATACCGTAATAAAGTAAATCAAAAAAGCAACAAAAAATAGATCTTGTCATTTTTCGATTAAATCATTTTTTTCTGGTAGAAAACGTGGTCCGTGTTTTTCATAAAATAATGAAATCGTGAAATTATACGTTTTTCTACGGTTTTTTCCACTGAAGTACTTTTATTTAAAAAATGACGTCAAAAATCAAAAAATTACTAGTTTAAAGTACAGTCAAGACAACTTGAGCTTACAAAAAAATGCTATACTTAAAAATCAGAACAAGTTTCCGAGAAAAAAACGTGTCCACAGACTAAAAGAACAAGAAAAAATACTAATAATAAATATCTTGGTAAAACCAATAGCTCCCTTCGTACGCTCGGAATCTAAAATAGTCACCGATTTTTAATCAGGCAGATTAGGAAAACTATTATAAGCTATTATAAGTTTAGACGTATTTGAAATGATTTCGCTTTATAGATATAATATATGGAAAAAATGGATAGTCAAATCTGTGAGTAAATCTGAAGATTAGTAGCAATAAATGAAGGTGGGAAATTTCATTGAACCTGGGAAATATTATTTGACGCCATGAACTGTGAACTATTATGTGATAAATAGAAAAATATATTTAAAATTATTCATAAATTCTTTCTTTATTATCGCATAATAAGTAACATGAACACATTTATACTACTTATCGTACAACAGTTAGTTATCTATTTGTTTTATTTATTTTACTAGCTGTCCCGGCCAGTGTTACCCATGCCGAAATAATTATCGACCAACAATAAACAAAACAACCAGTTTTTACAGTAACTATTGTTCGTTGTGCGTATCCTCATGACGACTATTGTTACAACACTTGTTCTTATTTACTATTTTATTACCTTTTTTTAATTTCGTCCCTAACATCAAGGAAACCCTTAAATCGTCAAATATAATTAAATTTTTTTACCAAAAATAACTACAAACAAATATAATATTGTTGTAAAACATTTACAATATTTATTTGTTAAGTTTTTATAAATAAATAAAAAAATATACATACTAATAACTATGTGTGAGACACTAAGACCCTCATTTAGAGAGAATTTCGAAGGAAAGCGTAGCCTATAATTTATCCCTGGACTAGAATTATTCGTTCATCTATGTACATTTTCAACTCAATTTATTCGGCATGAAGGAGCAACAAACATTCATCCAAAAAAAATTTCACATTAATAATTTATTATCTATGATATTTCGATTTATTATACGGGGGAAAATTAATAATAAATAATGCGGAATATTTCTCAAGTGTTGCATTTATTTCAAAGATGACAACATGTTACATAATAATTAGTTTTTGACATCAACAAGTTGTCCATCCTCTCGCAATTTGCAAATGAAAATCCCTTAAAAAATTACAAAATATAGAAGACTATGAATGTACCTATATTTAAAACACTACATTGTTGGTGTTATTAAATTATATCAACTAAATTGTAGTAACTAAATAATATGTATAAATTCCAATGAAGTCAAATATTAAAAAATATTACTTTGATTTTTAAAATTTAAGTACTGATACACTATGATTTACTACTTAATAATATTATACATTCCTCTCGTAGGAGTTTCTTTTGTGTAGGAGTTTACGTTATTCCTTTTCATTAAAACGACGAACAGAAAGCGAGTTTGTAATCCAATCAAAGGATCGCGCTATTTTTCGCTTGTGCCCGATCTTATTATAATACTATAATGTCTTAGCCGTATTTTAAAATCGTCAATATAAATAATAACATCGTCTCCCCACGGTGCACTGCACGTTAAATACCGCGTCCCGTTAAAATCCAAAATGATTTACACTACCTTGGCTTTTGGTGAAATTAAAAGGAAACGCACGTAATCCTTTGCCGCCCGAGGCTCATGGTCGATTTGCTGCTTGTAGGTATAGTATGCACTTGATTTTGCGTGTCAGTGTGGACGAAACATTTTCGGTTACTGGCGAATATCGCGTGCCGAAATGTTTGTCACATTGGTTGAATTTTAACGACAAACTTAATATTAAATTTTTAAACTTAACAATAGTAGTAACTACCTTATACTTACTAAGCCTAATATTAATATAAGAAAAAATATCGCGGCTAATGTATCAAGGTACTGACAGCTATAGGTAGTTGGGACATTGGAAAAGTAAGATATATATTATATATATAACTATTTAGTTGATATACTGTATATTCAACGATAAATATCATTACAATAATGCAAAACGATTCTAAGTGTAGGATGGTTTGTAATATTTGTAACCATAAAAAAATTACATTTTTACATTCTGAACGGAGTGAAGAAAGTATTAGTTTTACAATGATGATTATTCTTTTTTTCCTTTCTATGGATATATTTTTTACCACCGATTTTGCTCTGATTTTCAATAATAGCATTTTTTTTTTTTTTTTTTTTTTTAAGTAAATCTGACTACAGAGGTACTTTAAGAAGGTCATTTTTTTTTTTTGATTTTCTCAGAAATTTTCCTAATTTCAGAAAAACCGAGAAACACGTAAAAAAAACAGGAAAATAGGTATAATATTAAACGAATATTATCAAAAAAAAAATGTATAATTATTTAACTATAATATGATTTATATATTGTTGACAAAGCAACACTATCAGCCAAACTCCGCTCAAAATCGTTTTGAGAGACGATCAGAGTCGTTATTTTTTCGTTATCAATGGTTAATCGTTGCTTACTGATGTATATTAAATTACATATAACACTGGTTTCACCCGTTTTCATTATACTAGGGCAGCTTTTTGTTCGTGATTTTAACAAATTTTGAGATTAATTCGAATTTCAAACACTAATAAAAATAAATGGCCGTTTGTGTATGGTACACAACTGATAAATATAAGTATTTTTAGTTTATCGTTTATCGCATTTCTATAGTTTCCGATAGAAATTTATAATAAAAGTATATTTTGGTTTCCGTAATGACAAAATTAGCTCTAAAACACACAAAGCTGGGGAACTTAACCGTTTTTTTTTTCAAAAATCTAGTTTAAGCAAAGTTATTATTTTTGAAAAGAAAAAATAACAATTTTGTTAAAATTAGTTTTGGAATCTAAAAAATCAAGTCAAGCTACAAATTTAAAGGAAAACAACAGTATAAATTAATAATTGCTTTTTTTTAAATTTACACTATACCACACGTACAAACGTATTTTAATCTCTAATATTTACAGTTTTTTATACTAGTCATACAAGATTCGTATTGGTATCCCATAGATCGTGTTTTGTTATTATATAATGGTATTCACCTCAAAATGCATAAATTTCCGTCGAAACATAAATGCAAAATTCATACATACATAATTGTTCATGTTAACAATTCAGGAATAACGTTATAGAAATAATTTACATATCTTATCAAAACGATTGCGTTACGTTAAAAGTATTTATATCTAAGTTATTTAATAACATTCTATTAGTTTATAAAACCAGCTAAGTTAAAAGTTATTAACAAAGTAACTTATAAATTAACTTTTTACTTTTAACTGGTAATATTTATACACACTGTTGGCACGCTACACTCCCCGTGGTTAGCGATAAAGTTATTCTCATACATACCTTACACGAATCTGGGTCAATCAACCGGCAACCATTCAACTGACATCCAAAATGCATTGTATGGCACAGTTCTTTAAATTCAACGAATATACCAGAAATTTTCTTTTTAGGCAATAATTCAAAAGACAAAATCCGATCAATTAATCAATTTCCAAAAAAATACCAGGCTATACTGTTTAACATAAATGAAATCATTGTTCCGTATATATGTGTATTCCTATTTATGTCTTCTGATCGAACATTACATTACATAAAAAAAAAAAAATAATAAAAGCACATACCATAGTGACACTTATATGCATTCTTTGCCTTATTCAGAATCTAAGATAAAAAACACAGACATTTCATTGAAATTTATATGTGACCGATTTTCTATAACGAATAATTTATGATAATTTATTAGTATAGCTATATTCGAAACAATTCACAAAAAGATCCTTTGGTAAAGAATTACTGCAAGGATCGCGGGTTAAAGAATTCGGCTGCAATCCAAAAAACAAATTGTCTTTTGATCCGCTGTGTTTTATTTAAATATTTGAATCGAATATTTAAGTTTAATTTATTTCGATTTACTATCATAAAAAATCTCTCCCACGCCCATTCACTACCTCCAGGGTTTCTAATCGAACTAAATTTCTGTTCAATCTTTCATCGTTTTCAATCATTATTCTTTTAAAAAATAATAAAACTAACTAAAAAATATACGTAGTATCTATTATGAATAGTGATGTTTCGTTTCATGGGCGGTTTTTGGAACAACTGCACCAGAGTCGTAAATTTCGATTTCTTGCAGAAGTTGCGCGGTGATCATAAATAATTTAGAAGGATAACAAACCACAGAGGTATAAATTCGATGATATATATGTCACTCTCCTTCGACCACCTCTTCGGCACTCGCCTATACCGACAGCAAGGGGATATTGTTATGTATTCATACGGAATAAAATGTATAACACCTATAATATTTTACAATAAAACTATTTTAGTGATTCGTTTAATGCGGATCGCTTATTGCAATTTTAAATTTTAATTCCAATGGTAGTATAAATATATCGAGTAAAAGTGTATAGTATAAAAAAGTGTGCAATTCAATTTTAATTAGAATTAAAAGCAAATATGAAAAATTATACAAATGGTGGTAATTGTGTTTTATGATTCGACAGTCGAATATTATACCAACTCGCCACATGTTTGCTCATCCGAAAGATATAGAAATCAGCTATAGCTGCTCACCAAACTACACGAACAATTAGTATCATTTTCTAATTTTTAATAAACTTAATGCAATATATTATATTTATTGGATATATATTAAATCTATTATTTCATTTACTTTTTAATAATTTGTTTTATTACGTTCTACTGTATTTTACAATATTTGTATTATTATTCAATGCAGAAAAAAAAAATTGCCGTGCTTTTCTTTTCGAAATATACAAGTGTCCCTCTCTAAAGAAAAAACCATGGTCTCGTATTGTATACCCGATAATAGATATGAGACCGATAACTAATATTGCTTTTTTAAAGGGCAAAGGTTTTAGAGGTTAGGTCATATTGAGCTACGAACACGAAGGTCGCTCTTCGTGATAGGTGAAAGGTTCAAAAAAAGAAAGATAGATGATGTAGAACAAAATGACCTGAAAGTATTGGGTCTGGAAAAAAGTGGCTATGATTAGTGGTCACAGTAGTGCACATAACACATAGAGAGTATAGCAACGGCAAAAAAAGAATTTGACAATAGCGTATTCGTTTAAAACAGAATAAATTATTTTTCATTAAACACCCACTCGTCAAAGTACTATTTTAAATTATTTTATGATTTGAGATACATCAAAAATAGATCAATCACGACTATATCGCGTTGTATATGAATTTGATCTTTGGTAAAATATCATTACGAAATTTGGTAAAAATGTTTTTAGACCGATTTTTGCAATTCCGACTTGGTGATTTCAAAAAATAATTCGATTAATTAGATATTTTGTCATATTTTAAAACATTAAAACCGTTTTCTCGTTTCAATACAACAGATAATATAATATATTGCGTGAATAAAAATGCGCGTATTCGTCAAATGTCAAGAGAATAGTTTTAATTTATTGTCGTGATTATGATTAATGAATTACAAATAGTATTATATAATGTTGTAATAACAAATAATGTGATGGTGATAAAAACGTTTTAGTTAACCGATCGATGGAATATTATAAAGTTATCTATTTTTTAGAATAAATAAAACATTTGTCGTATCGTGTTTAAACTGATAACTGTTGCCGTCATCTTATCTGAAGACCATTAGCCAACAAATAAAATGATATAGTAGAAGCAGCGAAAATCCTTCAAGGAACACGAAACCTCAAAAAGAAGAAGTTGGACAGATACTTTTGTCATATAGGATTATTTTAATCGATTTCGATACCTCAAAAATAGCTAGCCTATTTTTTCCACCTACACTTTGTCTCTTCGAGAGCGTGTAACAATATTATTATAAGCTTTTTATTTTTACGACCTTTATATGATATTGGTTACAGTGCGTATACTAGTCGTCACTATTATTAATATGCTGTCATCTATAGACTTTCGTCGTCACACTACAATTTAACGGTTGTAACTTTTGTCTTGGGCGAAAATGTCAGGCCCGACACAAAACTGTTGAAATGTCCAACTGTCTGAAATAAAATAAATATCTGCAGTAGGTATCCACACAAATTGACATTCGTTAATGTTATGTGATGACCGAAAATTAAATCGACGATAGTGGTATAGATGCGTTATAGTGTATTGTTTTGAGGAAACCGGCGTTATCGCAATAACCAAGGAGAATTTTGCGGTCATGATAAAATCGTACAGGTTAAGTTTGTACTAACTAACAAATTAGTATAATTTGGCGTATCACGAGTGTCTGTTTTATCGGAACTTTGATCGAAACACAAATCGGCGGCTCTGTCCTTCGGTTACAAGTTATGTATTATAATGCAATATTATTATACACTTACGTCCTGCACACTACATAAATACGAACATTATTGAAATTTCGAATAAATGTTTACCCGAAATTCAATCAATCTGAACAACCGAACAATTCACGCATCAACGTCAAAATGAGCTCGTCTAACAGAGAAAGTTATGATTGAATCGCAGAAACCTGCGAAAATATCTCATTATTTCGATCATATATCTCTTTAATTACTTTTATCTAACTTAAACAAAATATATGTATTGAATTTAAAGCGCTTTCTTTGTTTATAGACTTTTAAAAATGTCAAAATATGTACAATTA